ACAAACATAAAAATGATTAGCTGATTAGGCCATCTGGAAAAATCCTCTGTAGAACCTGGCTTTGCTGGGGACATTGAACAAATAAACAATTTGTTTCATGGGTGAATTCTAGAGTCAGTATACATGTCACCTAAATTAGACTCTTGCTAATTTGGGAGTCTACAGGTTTTATCTCCTGGGAAATCTTGAATTTCTGGATTGAAGGGCACTCTGCAGTAGCTGATGCCAGCCACATGGGGCAAACAGAAGAATCCCTCCCAGAGCAAGAGCTTCTGTGGGGATGCCTTTTAAATTTTATTTGGAGGGGTGTGCGCCATCCCTGACTATGCTCAGAGACTGTTCCTGACTTGGTGCTCGGAAATCACTCCTGGCAGTACTCAGGGTGGTAAGCCCAAGTGAATGATTGCCACCTAAAGGCCAACAGACATTGGTGAACGTGGAGAAAGGAGCTTACTCTGGGGATAGCAGCTGAGATGATGGTGGTTATCTTGTCCTCAAAAATCCATTTTCTAGCACATTTCTCTATCTGAGATGTGTTTGTCTCCCTATTTTCTCTTATAAAATCATTTTACTTCACTAAAAAAATGAATTCTCTGTCCCTGCCCCAACCCTCCCCACAAACGGAAAAACCAACATCATCTTCCTTTCAGGCCAGGGTTATTGGTATCTTTAGAGCTGGTAGGGAAGTCAGTGGTGAGTGGTGGGCAGGAGTCCTGAGAGGCTTCAGGAATTTCCCCAGGGAGCCTGTCGCTCTCCCCCCGCACTTTCATCCTCAGTTGCACTGTCAAACACAGGAGCCTGTGCTCAGGGATCAAAACTGAGGGTCTGCTCGCAAAGGATGTGCTCCAGCTCACTGAGTTCTCTGGCCCCAATAGATTTTTTTTTTCAGGAAGGCGTATTTGTGCCATATGCGACAGTGCTCAGGGGCTATATCTATCTCTGCTCAGGAGTCACCCCTGGTTATGCTCAGGGGACCATGTGGTACCAGAGATTCAAACCTGGGTTGCTGCTGCCATGGCCACAAGCAAGGCATGCGTTTTTCCTCCTGTACACACTCTTTGGAACCCAGAGGACACCCATGGCACATTTTGTTGTTGTTTGTTTTATTCTTGGGCCAAAACTGGCTGTGCACAGGGATCACACCTGGTGCTGCTTGGGGGACCATATGGGGTGCAGGAATCTAACCCTGGCTGGCCACATGTAAGGCAGGCTCCCCACCCACTAACTATACTATCTCTCTGTCCTCCCTGTGTTGCTTTTTTTTTTTTTTCGCTTTTTAAAAAATTTTTATTTTTTGCTTTTTGGGGTCACACCTGGCGATGCTCAGGGGTTATTCCTGGCTCATGCACTCAGGAATTACTCCTGCGGTGCTTGGGGGATCTTATGGGATGGTGGGAATCGAACCCGGGTCGACCACGTGTGAGGCAAGTGCCCTAACCTCTGTGCTATCACTCCACCCCCCCTGTGATGCTTTTAATCATCCTCCAGTGCAGTTTTGGGAGGGCAAGCTCCCCTCCCCACCCCCAGCCTCACCCCACCTCATTTCAGGTCAGAGGAAGTCACAGATGGTAGGTAAACTGGGAGCCCTGTGAATTGGTGGCAGATACTCTAACATTTTCCCACATGCCTGCCCTAGTGATCTGTCTTCTACTGCTACGGTCTCAAAGCAGGCACTATGGTAGGGCAGTTTCTGTGACAACTCCTTGGTTTATAGGTATGTACAGCAGATACACAAATCAAACATTTCCTGAGGACAGGGGACAAGGCACTGGCCTTGCAAGCAGCTGACTGGACCCTGGGCACTGCTGAGGGTAAGCTCCCCCACCAATCAAACATTAATGACAATAAATCAGAAAGAAACTTTTTAAAACAATGTTTTTGTTAGGTGACCCCTATAAAGTCTCAATCTGCTGTTCACTGGAGGAGCTCCAGGAATCCCTTGGAAACGCCCCTCTATCATGTTTTGTATCTGTTTCATCTCTTTTGAACTCAGTTTGAATATTAAATATTGATTTGCCCAAGGTATTTTTTTCCTTTTTTTTTCAATGCTTCAGGTTTGTTTTTTTTTTGCTTTGTTTTATTTTGGGAGGGGGGGGAGCCATACCTAGCGATGATCAGGGGTTATTCCTGGCTCTGTACTCAGGGATCACTTCTGGCAGTGCTTGGATGCCAGGAATTGAACCCGCTCGGCCATGTGCAAGGCAAATGCCCTACCTTATGTTCTATCACTCCAGTCCCGATTTTTCTCTTTTAAGATCCTCTTTTGGATGTTATTTTCATGTTTGTTTTGGGGCCTCACCTGCTCACCCAACAGTATTCAGGGGTTAATTTTGACTTTGTGCTCAGGGGTCATATGGGATGTTGAGGATCAAACCCGGTTTGACCATGTGCAAGGTAATCGCCCTAGCCACTGTGTTATCTCTCTGGCCCCTTTGTACTGATCTTTTTTCTTTTTTTTTGTCACACCCAACAATGCACAGGGGTTATTCCTGGCTCTGCATTCAGAATTATTCCTGGCAATGCTCAGGGGATCATATGGGATGCTGGGACTCGAACCCGGGTTGGCCACATGCAAGGCAAATGCCCTATCTGCTCTGCTAAGGCTCCAATCAAGCCTCTGTACTGATCTTAAATGGAAAGGGGGATACAATTTAACGTGTCCTTTTGTTTGTTTTTGTTTTGGGGTCACAGCCAGCTATGTTCAGGGCTTACTCCTCGGTCTGTGCTCGGCGATCACCCCATATGGTGGTCCTAGATAAGCTGCCTGTAAGGCAAGCATCATACCTACTGTACTGATTCTCCCAGTTCAACATGTTTTTGTTTTTTGTTTGTTTTTTGGGTCACATCCAGCAATGCTCAGGACTTACTCCTAGCTCTGCACTCAGGAATCACTCCTGGTGGTACTTGGGGGACCAAATAAGATGCTGGGGATTGGTCAGGTTGGTCACATGCAAGGCAGACACCCTGCCCTCTGTACTATCACTCCAGCTCCAGTTCAACATGATGTTTTTAACCAGAGAACTGAGAAGACAGAATTACTGAGAAGCCGGCACATTCTGCTTAAATGAAATACAGTGGTTTCTGATGAATGAAAAGGACAAAACCTTGTCTTGTCCGATGAATGAAAAGGACAGAAACCTGCCATGTGTGTTTGTTTTAAACTTAAAAGCAGCCTTAGAGTCAAGAAGAAACCTGCCGTGTGTGTTTGTTTGTTTCAAACTTAAAAGCAGCTTTTCCATTGGCTCATGAAATTGACTATGGCGCTGGCTTGCTGGCACTCCAGGGAGCTTCTGTGAGGAAAATCACCCTAATCTTGGGATGGATTCTTGTCCCAAATTTCCAATGATTGCTGAGAAATAGCAGCATGTCTGGTCTCGGTGGCCTGAGTAACTGAGGCTGCAAGCCCAGACTCCTCCTTCATTGGCCTGGCATTACTGTCGGACTGAAATGTCCCGCCTTGGTTTGTCCCAGGGAGAGGGCAGAGTGGCATCCTGGTTCCTGGTGCGAGGCCGAGCAGACGTGCTTCTCATAAGTACGTCTGCTTGAGGACAGTAGTCTCTGCAGCTTCCTGTGGACCTGGGGAAGTGGGAGCAGTCTGTGCCACCTAGAGATAGAAAGGAAGTAGGAAAGATAAGAAAGGAGGCAGTTGACCTGTTTTGTCCACATATATACCAACAAAAAAAGGGCAGCTAAGTACAAAACCCTACGTAATGATTTAATTTTTTTGTTGTTGTTGTTGTTTTGTTTTGGGGCCACTCCCAGCAATGCTTAGGGCTGGCTTTGCTCTCAGGAATTACTCCTGGCAGTGCTTGAAAACTTTAGATAATTATAAGCATGGAACTTTTTGTTTCTGCTACCCAGTTCCTCTTGGTGATTTCTCTCTCAGTACTTTTACCAAGAAAGAACCAGTAGGTGCAGGTCTGTGTGAAATACTGGTGGTTGGAAACTTTCACAAAGAGCTCGCTCATCCATGGCTTGACCCATTTGTTATGAATGGAAAAGATAGTGGCTGTGCAGCTAGCTACCTTGGGTCCCAGATGCTTAAAGATTCTCCTTCAGGGCCAGAGAGATAGTATAGGAGGGAAGGCCTTGCATGCAGCTGACCTGGATTTGATCCCTGGCACCACATGTGGTCCCCTGAGCACTGCAGAGGGTCACTCTTGAGAATAGGAATAACCTCTGCACACTGCAACACCCTACCCCAGAGATTCTCCTTCCCCTGAATCTGGCTCCAACGATCTCAATATGTTTGAAAAGAGCCTGGCTGTGGGTCTGTGTGTACCAACCACTCCATTCTCGTGCCACCCGCCCTGTGCCCATTTTATTCTGTCTGTGCTTTCTAAGTGCTTTATTATTAGTAGTAGTAGTAGTACTACTACTACTACTACTACTACTATATTATTATTATTATTTAGTATAACTAAGTTATAAGTCTCTTTCAAGCAGGAAGCTTGGGCTGTAGAGGGAAAGTTTGAATAAAAACTTGTGATATAAATGAGCCAGAATATCTGTATCAGAAGGAGGTCTGAATTTTAGTTCTCTTTCTGCCAGCTTTGTGATATCTGAAGTGTAAAAAGTTTTATGGGGCTTTCTTGTATTAAAGAAAAAATAACACATATCTAGAAGAGAGCCCAATGGGCTGAGTACATGCTTGCCATGTCAGCCCAGGTTTGATCCCCAGATCTACATACTCTGCCAGTACAATTGGGAGTGATTTTGAGCACTGAACTGGAAGTAGCCCTTGAGCACCACTGTGGCCTGAAAAACAACATAATAGATATATAAGTAAATTTTTTGTTTTTGTTGGGGGCCACCGTAGCAGTGCTCAGGGCTTACTCTGGACTCTGCATTCAGGGATCACTCCTGATGGGGCTCAGAGACCAGATGGGGTGCCTGGGATCAAACCCAGGTCAGCCTTGTGCAAGGCAAGAGTTCTATCTGCTGTACTACCATCCCAGCCCCTGTCAGACCCATTTCTCCAAACCAATGACATAAGCTATTCAGCGAATACTTCCCTTCTCGGGCTGAGGGTTGAGCTGGGTTTCAGCTCCCTCCGAGGACTGGCCTCCCTCCCTTAGTCTTCTCCACAGCCTCTGGCATTGACATTGCCCTGTGATTCGCCGACATCGACCCTGAAGGGAGAAAAGAACTGGCATTAGCTTCGCGGCTGCTGTGCCATTTTTTTTTTTGGTGGTGGGGGGGGTGTATTGGTGGGGGGGAATCACACCAGGCAATGCTCAAGAATTATTCCTGGCTCTGTACTTAGGAATCATTCCTGGTGGGCTTGGGGAACTAGCAGGGTGCCAGCAATCAAACCTGGGTTGGATGTGTGCAAGACAACTTCCTTATCTGCTGTACTATCTCTTTGGCCCCACCATTGTGTCTTTGGTTTGATTTCCAAACCTCAGACCAAGTCATTTAAAAATAAATCTCCTTGGGGGTATGGCGCCATCAGCAGGTCAATCTGTACCTGTGAGGCGAGTGCATCAGCAGCCTCATGGCACCTTCAAACTTCCAGATACCCCAAAATTGCTGCTGTGCCTTTGACCAGACCCCAGAAACTTGGGGCAAAGTTTACCAAGAAAATGGCCAAAAGTTAGGTATGTGGGAGGCAAACCCACAAACCACCTCCGGCTCAGCTATATAATTGGAGGCATGGCCTCTTTGGTTCCTGATCAAATTGCTTAACAGTCACGATCCCAGAGACTCAGAAACAAATCTCAAAACCCAATGACTTTTGGCAGAAATGCGTCTGGTCCCTGCAGAAGGTTACTGGCGCCAGACCATGCCAGGTAGGAATAGGTTTCATATCTTGGCTTCTTCTCCCTGACGGCTCAGTGGCCGTCATCCTCCAGAGGTCACTGGACAGTCAGGTTTGGGCCCGCAGTGATGAGACACGCATGGCCTCACAGGATGGGGGTGGAACCGGCCCTTTCCTTTCTGTCCAAACGAGACCCCAAGTCGCTGTCCACGAACAGCCTCTCTGGCTCCTGATCAAGCTGCTTAATGGCCATAATCCCAGAGACTCAGAAATAAAACCCAGCGGCTTTTGGCAGAAATGCGTCTGGACCCCGCAGTAGGTTAGTGTTGCCAGGGCCACCCCAGAGGGGAAAGGGTACTGTCCCTCCACCTGCTCCCCCTTGGCAGTTCGATGGCTGCCATTCCCCAGAGGCCATTGAACAGTCAGGCTTTGTCCTGTAGTGATGAGATACACGGGGTCTCATGGGATGCGGGTGGAGCCGGCCCTTTCCTCCCCACCCCAATAAGACCCCGAGTCGCCGCCCACAAATGGCCTCTCTGGCTCCTGATCAAGATGCTTAATGGCCATGATCTCAGAGACTCAGGAAAAAATCTTGGAACCCAGCAGGTTTTGGCAGAAATCCCTCCAGATTTAATTGTTAAAATTTCGAAATTCCAAAATCAATTTTTTTTTTTTTTTACTTTTTGGGTCACACCCGGCGATGCTCAGGGGTTACTCCTGGCTCATGCACTCAGGAATTACTCCTGGCAGTGCTGAGGGGACCATATATGATGTTGGGATTCGAACCCAGGTCAGCCACATGTAAGGTAAACACCCTACCCATTGTGCTGTCGCTCTAGCCCCAAAATCATTTGTTATTTATAACCAGCAATAGAAAACAAATTGTCTACTGTTGCCTTTTCGGCAGATATGAGTGTTGGGGTAAACTCCCAAATAATAATGGTGGGTCTGGTGTCAAAATATTGAATGTATCAAAGTAGAGACAGAGTAATGTGGAAATCATCTGCCTCACAGGTAGGGGGAGGGTGTGGGGAGGGAGTATACTGGGGTTTTTGGTGGTGGAAAATGGGCACTGGTGAAGGGACGGGTGTTTCATTGTATGACCGAGACTTAAACCCAAAAGCTTTGTAACTGTTTTCACGGTGATTCAATAAATAAAATTATAAAAAATGGGGAAAAAAAGTAAGGTGTATTTCATGCACAATTCAATCAGCCTAATCAGTGGCTGAGTAAATAGCAGTACTCCTGCATTTAAAAAAATACAATAAAAATAAATCTTCTAAAGGGAAATTGAAGTTCCTATTGAATCTATCATCATCAGAGGGTGACCAGGTTCAACAGTGAAAAGGCTTTATTTCAGCCAGGTCTTCCCCTGTGCTTTTTATATAGGGTCTTTTTTTCTTTCTCTTTTTTCTTTCTTTTTAGTTTTTGTATCACAGCCAGCAGTGCTCCTGGCTTACTCCTGTCTCTGCACTTAGGGATCACTCCTGGTGGTGCTGGGAGCACATATGGAAAGTCAGGGATCAGACCCAGGTCGCTTGTGTGCCAAGCAAGTGCCTTACCCACTGTACTGTCACTCTGCCCCTTCACCTAGGGTCTTGAAAAGTCATGTGAGGCAAATATCCTGAGTCTCGTTTCATTGATGTATTTACTTATTTATTGGTTTGGGACCACATCTGGCAGTGCTTTGGGGGTGAGGTGGGGATACTCTCAGATCTGTGCTCAGGGCTCCCTCCTAGAAGATCTTGAGGGAACCAGGCAGTGCTGGGGATCAGACCCCATGGCATCATTTTATAGACAAGACAACTGAGATTGCAGAAGTCATACAGATTTCCCAAAGCCTCTCAAGTGAGCCTCGGGTCTGTCCAAACTCCAGACACCGTGCTCACTTGGGCAGCACACATACAAAAACTGAAAGTGCAGGAAAGCCCAGGGTCTGTGTTTCTTTCCTTCCAAGCTGCTTTTGCACAGAAGGAGGACTTTCTAGAACAAAACCCAAGGAACCAGTATACCACCAAGAACTTACAGGGCACGGGACTTCGAAAATGACAAACACCATGATGGCCGCTCCACTGATCAGCAGAGTGACAGCAATCAGAGATTTGACCAGGAAACTCCATTTCTTCCTCTGCCAAAGGTCCTCATCTGTGTCTGGAAGGAAAGAGAAAGAAGTTGGGGGGAGCAGAGGGTGGAGGGGAGAGCCAGTGTGAGAGAGGGAAGCGCTGGCCCCTCTGGCACCAATATCTCTGGCCAGGCTGTAGCAGGGCCCCATGCCCAAGGGAGGGCTGGCCATCATTGCCTCTGCCCTGATCTACCGCTAAGCTTTTTCCCAGTGAGTCATCCCAGCCCTGGCATTTTGGATTTTTCCTTGATCGAGTAGGACTGACTTTTGCACTGCTCCTGGGGGGAGGGACCCAGGAAGCTCACTTTCTCCTGCAGTACTCGCTTAGTCTGTGCTCTCGTGCCTGCATAGGAGAATACCACCTTCCCTACACTCTCACCTGGAGAGGACCACAGAAGGAGCAAAGGTGAACTGGCATCACTTCCGGGTCAAAAGGATCTTGTTATTTTGTCGGGGGAGAGGGCCACACCTGGCAGTGTTCAGAGCTTACTCCTGGCTCTGTGTTCAAGGGTCACTTCTAGCAGGTTTGGGGACCATGTGGGGTGCCAGAGAGATCTGACAGGGTCAGCCTTGGGCAAGGGAAGTGCCCTATTGCTGTACTATCTCTCCTGCTACCCACCTTGACATCATTTATTTTTTGTTCAATTACTTAAAACATTTAAATTACATTTAATTTATTTTTAATTTTTTAATATTTTTTTCAATTGAATCACCACGAGTAGAGCATTACAAAGCTGTTTGTGATCGGGTTTCAGTCATACAATTTCCAACACCCATTCCTCCACCAGTGTACATTTCCCAGCACCAGTGTCCCCAAGTTCCCTCCCATCATCCCCCACTCTCCCACCCTCTACCTGCCCTTATGGCAGGTGCTTTTCTTCTTCCTTTTCTTCCCCTCTCTCTGTCTCTCTCTCTCTCTCTTTCTTATTTTAGGCATTATGGTTTGCAATACAGATACTGAAAGGTTATCATGTATATCACTTTACGTACTTTCAACACTTAGTTCTTGTCCAGAGTGATCTTTTCCAACTAATGTTGTCATAATAGATCCTCCTCTATCTTAACTACCCTCCACCTTCCACACCCTTGTGGTAATTTCTGACCATTGATCAGTCCTCTGGGTCTGTTTTACCTGGCCTTGCTTGGATATTAGTTTCATACTATTTTTTTTTATATCCCACAAATGAATACAGTCATTCTGTATCTGTCCCTCTCCTTCTGACTCATTTCACTCAGCATGATACTCTCCAAGTCCATCCATTTATAGGCAAATTTCATAACCTTATTTTTCCTAACAGCTATATAATATTCCATTGTGCAGATGTACCATAGTTTCTTTATCCAGTCTGTTCTTGGGTATTCAGGTTTTACTTATATTTTAAATTAAAATATAAATATGGTCACATAAATTCTTTTTCAGTTTATATGAAGGGCAAATGGTTAATATCCCTACTTCTCCTTATATTTAATTTTTTTACCTTATACTTTTATTTTTATTTTTTTATTGAATCTGTAAGATACACAGTTACAAAACTATTATGAGAGAGAGAGAGAGAGAGAGAGAGAGAGAGAATCTTGTATCCTGGTCTTCGTCCCTTTCAGGAGGTGGTTTCTAGAAATAGCCAATGAAAACCTACAGTTTTTTCATCATCATACAGTGTTTATCATCTCTGTAATCATTGCTTGCTCATACATTTTTATGCGTTTGTTGTACAAATGTATGCATCTCTTTTGCCACTAATCTACCACAAACCATCTTCCGCTGTTGTTTATTATTTAAATATACTCCATGACTGGAATTTACTTACCGCATGAATTTGATTTGCTCTGTGTTGAATCTGTCAGTAGGGCCAGAGGGACAGTATAGTGGGTAAGGTGCTTGCCTTGCACATGGTTGATCTAGGTTTGATCCCTGGCATTATATATGGCCCTACAGAACACCTTCAGGAGTAATCCCTGAGCACAGAGCAAGGAGGAAGCTCTCAGTACCTCCAGGTGTCACCTCAACCAAAAAAAGAATTCATCTATAACCAAAGTTCCATAGCACAGCGGTAGGGCGTTTGCCTTGCACGCAGCCAACATGGCCCACCCGAGTTTGATTCCTCCGCCCCTCTCGGAGAGCCCGGCAAGCTACCCAGAGTATCTCGCCCGCAAGGCAGAGCCTGGCAAGCTCCCCGTGACGTATTCGATATGCCAAACACAGTAACAACAAAGTCTCCAATGGAGATGTTACTGGGCCTGCTCGAGCAAATCGATGATCAACGGGAGGGCCTTTACCTTTTACCTTTTATGGAGTTCCCTTGTGGAAGAAAGGATTCTCCTCATGGTGTCAAACTACAAATATTTCTGGAATTTTTTTTTATAGAGATACTGATTTTTTTGTAGGGATCAGAGAGATTGCTATGCACATGATTGGCCCAGGTTCAATCCCGGGCATCCTTTAAGATTCCATCCTGTCATCCTGAACTCTACCAGGAGTGATTCCTTAGTTCAGAGCCTGGCTAGAATAAGCTCTGAGCACTGCCAAGTGTGGCCCCCAAAGAAAAGCAAACAAACAAAACCTCTTAATTTTTTTCAGCTGTGGGGACAACTAGGAGGATCCAAACTGGTGCTGGGCCAAAATGTTTCATTTTCCCATTAATTTCCTATAGATTTACTCTGTGCCTCGTTTCAAAGTGCCCAAAACTCTGCAGTACCTGTGTCTCCTTCTGGATTCCCAGGAGTCCCAGCTGTAGTGGTGCCAAGCAAAGGCTCTGCTGAGGCTCTTGTCACTGGGTCTGCCTTGCATTGTGAGATCCCTGGTAAAAAAGCTAGGAAACAAAATAGGAACTATTAAAAGATACCGGGAAACATCTCATCCTGTCTCTTTGTTTTACCTGCGGAAAGGCTGGCTTTCCCCAAGTGCTGTTTAGCTTGCAGTGGTAACCCCATTGACCTGTACAGAGGTTTAGGGTGTGGGCACATAATCATACCAAGTACAAATGAGGATAGAGATACTAATAAGAGATAAGGATTAATCCCTTCGGGGCCTTTGATGTGGAATCAGGGTGAAGGAGTAGATGAGCATCTCGGCCTGTCCTTAAGGCCATAATAAAAATAAGGATGCAGTGTATTACTCTGGCAATTTTCCTTCTGTAAAGAAGGTGGCTCCAAAGTCCGAGGGAAAGTGTGTAGTGTCATAAATTGCCTTAATGATTGCTGCAGGCTTGCCTAGTCTAGTGGAGTGGAGAGGCAAGCTAATTGCTCTGAGAGGGGGTTGGTAGAAGAAAAAAGGAAGAAAGCAAGTCCATCAGCTTTAGGCATCCTCAGTTCCAGCCATTCAGCAAGTATTTTTAAATGATTTAGTTTTGGGGTCACACCTGGCCATGCCCAGAAATACCTAGCCCTGCGCTCAGGGAGCTCTGTTGGAGAGGCTCCGGGGGACCATATGCAGAGCCGGGGCTGCATAGTACAAGACAAGCACCCTTACCTACTTTTTCATCCCTCTGGCCTGAAAATAAATATTTATGATGTGCCAGGAACTGCTTCTTTGCAGATATTAGTTGGATATATTCTGACAAGGGAACCGGAGGGAAGGCTGAGAGACAGGGCAGGGGGAGCAGGCAACAATAACAGTCAATTTTGGCCAGATACGTGGCTCATCGCAGAACTCATGGCTTGTATGTATAAATCCTTGAGTTCTATCCTTTACACTCTTCCACTAGACCCCCCCTCCCCACCCCCCAGAAAGCCCAATAAATGTTACGGCATTTCCACAAGGTTAAAATTTAAGAAAAGAGCAAGACAAGTGCAGGTAGGGTGTGTGTGAGAGGTCTGCAGTTTATTACCGTGTTTATTTGGGGGCTGGGGCCACACCGGCAATGATCATCTTGGGTGTGAGGGATCAAACCTGGGTCGGCTGTATGCAAGACAAGAGCCCTACCCACTGTCCTGTTACTTTGCCTCCCCCCACCCCTTTTTTAAGGCCTACAGTTTAGACTGCAGTCAGGACTTGCAGGAGGTAATGGGGCTCAGCCAAGCCAATGCCTGAGGATGTGGTGAGCTGGGCCAACTTTGCAGCTAGTAGAACTGTAACTGGGTTACAGTTAGAATAGCAGGAAGAAGACCAGTGAAACTGGGGTGGAGGGACCGGGCAGACAGTGATGGAAGAAGAGAATTTAGAAGAAAATAGGCTCACGGAGGGGCAGATGCCTCCAAGGACTAGAGTGCATCCTCTGTATGAAGGCAGCCGGGTTCCATCACAGCACTTCTAGCAGCAAGCCAGGAGAAGTCCCTGAACATCAACCGGTATGGCCCCCAAACCCAAAATAAATACAAGGTGAAAAAAATGGGAATTGTGCTAAATATATTCAACATCTTGCCCAAGTTGTTCACCCGAGTCATCCTAAATAGGATTGGCAGAACACTAGATGAAGGACAACCATGCGAGCAAGCCGGGTTCTGCAAAGGATTCAGCACCATCGACCATATCCACACAATAACCAAGCTCATTGAGGTTTCTCGGGAGTTCAAGATGCTGCTCTGTTTAACGTTCATTGATTTAAAGAAGGCCTTTGGTTCTGTTGAGACAGAAGCGGTCATTGAAGCCCTAGCCAATCAGGGCATTCAAGCCCAATACATCAAGATCCTCCGTGAGCTGTATTGCGGATTCACTACCAGGATCTCACCATTCTACAAAGAAGTGATCGTTGATGTCAAGAGAGGGGTGCGGCAGGGTGATACCATTTCACCGAAACTCTTCAGTGCCACCCTCGAGAACATCATGCGACGACTGGAATGGGAAGGAATGGGAGTGAAGATAGATGGCAATTACACCACCTCCGCTTTGCTGATGACATTGTTTTAATAACACCAAACATCAGCCAAGCGGCACAAATGCTGACCGACTTTGACCGTGAGTGTGGAAAGGTAGGACTACAGCTGAATCTTACGAAGACAGTGTTTATGAGAAACAGCCTCGTTCCTGATGCCCCATTCGCTCTCAACGGAACAACCATCTCCGAATGCAACAACTATGTGTACCTAGGTC